TCATTCATCCATCCATCCATCCATCCATTTATAAAATTTGTATGCTGTCCACTGCTTGCATCTCTGGATGGCTTACAACATTTATTTATTATTTATTTATTTATTAAAACATTTCTATGCCGTCCCATTCGCCGAAGCCTCAGGGCAGCTCACAACATAAAATTAAAATACAAGAAATAACAATATAACAATATAAAATAAGTCACCCTGGCCAGATAAAATAAGCAAATAATATTAACAATTAAAATGACACTTAAATAAAAAGGTCTTCGCCTGGTGCCGAAAAACAAATAAATCAGAATAAAATAAATAAATTGACTATTCCACACTGGCTGTAATTAAAATACAAACAATAAAATCCAATTAGTATTGATACATATTAAAATATTGATTAAATAAAAAGGTCTTGACCTGGCTCCGTAAAACATATAATGATGGTGTCAGGTGGATCTCTCTGAGCCCTTAAACGCTTTAATTTTGCCTAGAACACACAGTGAAGCCTAGAACGTCAAACTTCAATGGGCTGTCTCAGCAGTAACAACATGCTGCCCCTGAGAAGCAGATGGCCTTGCTGACAAATATGACTTCTCCACTCCCCACAGTACTGTCGCACACACATGATCAAATTGTGAAAGCTCACTGTGTGCCCTTGGATCACTCTCATAGGGTTGCTGTGAGGATACCAACAGCAGCAAACCTGGCCTGGTGTTGTTGTTAGTGTTAGTTGCGAAGTCGTGTCCGACCCATCGTGACCCCATGGACAACATTCCTCCAGGCCTTCCTGTCCTCCACCATCCCACGTAGTCCACTAAACCTCACGCTGACTGCTTCAGTGACTCCATCTAACCACCTCATTCTCTGCCATCCCCTTCTTTTGCCTTCAATTGTTCCCAGCATTAGGCTCTTCTCCAGGGAGTCCTTCCTTCTCATTAGGTGGTCAAAGTATTTGAGTTTCATCTTCACTATCTGGCCTTCTAAAGAGAAGTCAGAGTTGATCTCCTCTAAGACTGACTAGTTTGATTGCCTTACAGTCCAAGGGACTCGCAGGAGTCTTTGCCTGTGCCACAATTCAAAGGCCTCAATCCTTTTCCGCTCAGCCTTCCTTATGGTCCAGCTTTCACAGCTATACATTGCAACTGGGAAAACCAAAGCCTTGACTATACACACTTATGTTGGCAGGGTGATGTCTCTGCTTTTTAGTATGCTGTCTAGATTTGCCATAGCTTTCCTACCAAGGAGCAAGCGTCTTTTAATTTCTTGCCTGCAGCCCCTGTCTGCGGTGATCTTGGAGCCCAGGAAAATAAAATCTGTCACTACCTCCATTTCTTCCCCATCTATTTGCCAGGAAGCGAGAGGACCGGATGCCATGATCTTAGTTTTCTTAATGTTGAGTTTCAAGCCAACTTTTGCGCTCTCCTCCTTCACTTGCACCAAGAGGCTCTTCAGTTCCTCTTCACTTTCTGCCATGAGAGTGGCATCATCTGCATATCTGAGGCTGTTGATATTTCTCCTGCAATCTTCATTCCAACTTGTGATTCATCTAGCCCCGCCTTTCATATGATGTGCTCTGCATATAAATTACATAGGCAGGGCAACAGTATACAGCCTTGCCGAACTCCTTTCTCAATTTTGAACCAATCAGTGGTTCCATGTCCAGTTCTCACTGTTGCTTCCTGACCCGCATATAGGTTTCTCAAGAGATAAATAATATGGTCTGGTATTCTCTCTTTAAGAACTCGCCACAATTTGTTGTGATCCACACAATAGCATAGTCAATGAAGCAGAAGTAGATGCGTCTGGACAGCTCCTTAAATAGAGGATACCTTCAAACAGAGAACAGCCTTCTGGTAGCTCACTGGAATAGAGGACTTCCCCTGAAAAGCAGAACACCTGGCCACTCTATGTATCTATACAGATTCTGTGATGATAATTTAGTTTTCAGAATTTCAGGAATTGGAATTACTTGATGTCCTTTGCATGACCTCCAAAATTTTAGGCTCCCAGTAACAGATTGCTCCTTAAATAAAGTTTGAAACACAGATGACTAAAGTTAGCCTCTAACCATTTATGTGTGAAGAAATAATATGTCAGGCAATTTTTAAATTGCATGCTTATATTTTAAAACTTATACATGATTTAAGATGCTAATCTAGGCCCTTTTTTCCATCACTTGAGAGGAAATGGTTGTTTCAGTCCATGGCCGCAGTTGTGCTACAAGACCCAAGCTCAGCACCTGAGAAGTTCGACTTTCTTTTCTTTAAAAAAACATTTTAAAGATGATTCGTTTGCAAAGAAATATTTTAAGAAGGTGTGGTTATGCTGACATTTAAGCTATCACATACTTCCCACTTCCCCAAGCAGTGAATGCTACAGTAAAAGGTGCATGTTGTCTTTGTAACATTCATTTTATCTGCAAATATGCAACAGCGGAAGCCAACACATGCATATAGCAGGGAACGAGACCATGGTTCGCAAAGCAGCCATATGGACTCACAACTACAAAAGCTGTTTCCAATCCAGCTAAACTCATGTTCCCAACTTGGCTCTGAATTTTCTGTCCTATCCAGCTAGCTGGAGTGTGGCACTTTCCAAAGGTTGGAGAGATATAGTATTCAAGAGAGCATCCCAAGTCATTAATGAAACTCTTTGTTTATTTCACTTATGCATACTATCCTTCATCATATCAGGATTTTAAGACTGTGTGCAATCCATCATTTTACAAACCTATACAACAGCAGATAAAACCAACCAAAATGTCTGGCAAATAAAACTGCTTTTGCCTGGTGCCCAAAAGTCTGCAACTTTAGCACCTGGTGTCTTTCGGAGGGCATTCCATTATGAGAAAGCCCTTTCCTTTGTTGCTACATAAAATACCTCTGATTACAGCCACAAGCCCTGGCAGATGATCTTAACATTCTTTAGCCTAGTCTAATTATTCATTTGCAAAATAATGTCAGTGTCCAAATTTGGAACACCAACTTCATCCTCTGTCTTAAGTTCCACGGAGCTCTCAAAGCTGCCTTGACCTTTCCTTACCTCTAATTAAACAGCCACTCAAACCAATGCACAGACACATTTTTCTTTTGCTCATGTGCTCTTCCCAGTATTTTTTTTTGTCATCTTTGAGGGTAAAGCCCTCCCAAGGCAGCTTGTGTACATAAGTAGATATGCAGAACAGAGCAAAGGTAATTTCATTAAAGTGACAAAAGAAAATATTAACTAAAGGCAGATCAAAACAAAAGGGTTTAAATGGCTCTTGAATATCTAACCAGGATGGAGCCAAATGTATGCTCCGTGTGGGCTATGCACTTTGCAAATAGGGACCACCCTCAAGAAGGCCCTGTCTTTAGCACCTCTGAGTAAAATCAAGAATGAATACTCTTCAAAGTTATGTTTCAGTGTGTTTGGCCACTTTTCCCTCAAAGAGAAATGATCCATAAGGCAGCTTACCAACATATTTTAAAAAAATGAAACTAGCTTTCTGCAGGGAGGGATGCCACAAAACAAAACAGATCTGTAGAACACAGAACAGAGACATCCTGAGCCACACCCAGCTTCCTTCTACCTCCCTATTAGCAAATGCCTGGAGTTCAGTGCGGCTGATTTGAATGACAACAAAGGCAGTAAATAAGCATTTGATTTACACCCCCAGGGATTTTCATCTAGAATTTGAAGTGGGGGGAGGAGGGAGATGCCTACAAGACTACCAAAGTTTAAGATCTCTCTTCCATCTAGATATTAAATGCCTATTAAAATACAAAGCATCAAGGGCAGACAGGGTGAGATCAGTTTCCTTCACTTAATCCTTCAACTTTCAGGTTTACTTGCAATTAAAGGGTGGGCACATCAAGGGAAATGTTTCCGGAGTGGTAAGGTGCTCAGGTTGCCATCTACCGCTAATCTTCTTTCAGTCTTCCTGTAACCAAACCCTGCTACACAGTGGAGCTTAAGTAAATGTACAGGGATTTCAATCCATTTGTAAAATTTGAATGTATATCTTTGCATAGTTAAATTTATGCACATCTGAATGTTTATTTTGTATAGTTAAATTTACACACATGCATATGGTCCTACATCGCACTATTTCAGCTTCTGGCATGCTGGATTTAGGGACAGTGATGCAATAAAAGCTGTAATGATGCTGAAGTTACTAATTCCTACAGAATATTATTTCCTTCAAATGGATCAACAAGGCTTGCAATTTAATGCATAAAAACATACAATGATATCATTTTACATTAATTATTTTATAAGCAAAAGCTAAACAATGTTATAATTGAAAGATTTAATTCAAACTTTTTGAAGCTTGCCAAATTCCACATATGTGTAAAGTTGTATCTCACCTCTTTTGTACAGTCATATCTTGCAAATTAAAAAGGACCTGTCTATGAAATTGTAGTTTGAGGGGAGTGAAGTTTCAAAACTTCAGCTCTGGCTGGTTCCTACTAGTTCTCCTGTATGGCAGAAGTTGCACTAGTGAGTCACACAGTCTACATTGCTGATTTCCCACAGCAATGGGAAATGGGTTGTCCTGAGCTAAAGCATATTTCTCCTGGGCATTTCCCCCATTTTCCTAGCTATGCACTGAGGGGAACCCAAAATAAAAGCAGCACCATGTCATCTGAACATTATCTAGACAATCAGCGACACAAACCCACTAAGAAAGCTGGTGAGTTCCAAATTATGACCCAATGGAAGGACAGAAGCATTTAAAGAAGCAACAAACATCGTAACACCTTATTGCTATCTACATAGCTGTAAGAAAAACTACTTTTTTGCCCCGGTCTTACTTGGAATCTCTTAAAAACTAGTAACTCTTTACAGGTAAAATGCCAGTGATGCCTACAAGTACTTTTATCACCAAGATCTTTACTTGAACACAAGTGTCAATACTTGACATGTAGAGGAAGAGCAGACCATACTTTTGCAATCATGTAACTTTCCTTCTTTGTGCACCTAAGGTGCCGTGGGATCAGACGAGGACATTGAAAGATACTTACAGCAAACAGAGGGCATATGCAGACTGGATAGATTCACTGGCCCGCACAAGGAAACTGCCGTCCTTCCCTATTTTAGAAAGCAAATCTTCAGCTCTTGAACGGGTGATGGTTCCATGGTACCAGCACTGATCCATGCCTTGGTTTATGGGAGCGGTACCCGCTCCAAAATAAAATAAAAACAGACTTTAATTTTAAATAAAAGTGAACACACAGCCGGTGACTGTGCTGAGATCCCAGAGCTACTGTCTGCAATGCTCAGTAGCTGCCGCTTATAAGAACTTCCTGTTTTATGATGCAGGAAACAAAACGGAGGACTTCCTCATAGAAATCAACCAGCTGAAAGCAAAAAAAGCATGCTGCTGGAGACACTAGAGGCCGAGCCGTTTTAATGGGGCAGTTTTGCTTTAGAGTTGTCTACAGAGGGGCAGGTGTACTTGCAGAGTTGATCTGAACCCAGAATATCTCTCTTACTGGCTAGGATAAACAGTGCATTTCTCGGGATGAGAATTGTATCAAACAGACAACAATTTTCTTGCTTGAGGAGCCAGAAGTCTTGATCAAAATTCACTAGCCAGTTACCAACTTGGAGGAAACAGAGCTTAGTGCTGTACAGTCCCAGATGCACTTCAATGCCACCCACCTTTAAGACCTGAACATGATTCTGAAACCAGGCCACAAGCTTTGGTTGCTGATGTTCACTTAGGCAGAAGGAGGTAGTCTTTAGCCTGCTGAGCAGGTTAGGTTCACAAGACCTCTTCAGCTGGTATGCAGAAATTTCTGCCTAGGTCCTTCCCTCCCTCCCCTGAAGCCTCTCTCTGAAGAGTCTCTGTCAAGACCTGCTACTTTGAGGTGGTGGATCCTTCACTTATCTCAGTAGGAAATGCATCTGGCACACAGAACTGACTCCTTTGAGAACTGCTGATTCAAGGCACCTTGGCTGCATTTAAGGAATGATTAAAGAAATACTCTGAATATATGTGTGTGTGCAGGGAGAGGGAGTAAGAGAGACTGGACTGGTCTTTGGGCTCCGACCATACTCACTTCTGGAATACAATCCTGAGAGGATGCTTGATAGGCAATCCAGCCTGTGAGTTGAAGTGCCCCTCATGTCTAGATCAGGCCAAATCCAGTTCTCCAGGTAGCTGTGTTCCCTTTCCCTATCCCCTATCCCCAACTTCTTCCCCCAACCACCAATCCTTTGGTGGCTTCCTGGCTTTGGTAGAGTTGTTTTCCTATTTTTAAAAGTTGAAATGCCCCTCCTAAGGTTTAGTTCCTGGCAGAACGAACTTTAATCTAAAATATGCAGGTATTGTTTTTATATTTTGCTATAGGCCTTTTGCTCTTGATCCCACTCATCACTGAAATGCAGCTCTGAGAGCTTATGGATTTTGATCTGCAGACAGTTTCCCCATCCAGACTCAGAGTGAAATACAAAACAGTCACCTACAGATCCCAGAAGTCTTTGACCTTCAGTAGTGTGGATCGTGAAGCCCTGATGACCTGTCTGGCAAACTGGCAGATGTTTATACAGCCATTTTTAATTTGACAGTTTTTAACCCTAGGCAGAAAGATCCCAGAGGAAGAGTTAAAGTGTACAATCTAGAATTGTCCCTGGGAAGATTAAAGGGTCTCACTCTGCCCCTTCTCCTGTTCAGTGTGTATATATTGCTGTTTGGATAAGACAAGGATGACAAGATAACAGTAGAAAAAGTTCCTTGTTGACAGTGTAACACAGTCACGCTAAAGGAGTATTGTTTTCAAGTCATGATGCTATCTTTGGCAAGGAAATCAACTGGTCAACAGAATTTGCATAACTGTAAAATCAACTGTCTGCAATTGACAGCAAAGACCTTGTTCCAAGTGTATCAAACCATGGATCCATAGCACAGATTAATGTTAGCTTTAAGAATGGCAGGGGAGTTTTGTGCATCGTAACTACATGCTCCAGAATCCGAGTGAGCTATGTCAAAGCCTCCTTTTGCATAGTTACAGTCTTGCAGTTATTCTCCATCCTGAGGATGGATATGTCAACTCCTCAAGACCTCTTACAGTTCCTGTTCCTGCAGCTTCTGTTGCTGATGACAGCAGCATTGCCCAGGGAGGCAAAGCTCAGTGTCATCATGGTGCTTCCAGATGGCAATGATATATAAAGATTGAAACAGAATAGCAATGATGAGCAGGCGAGTCTAGTGATGCTGAAGATATTTGGCCTTATGCTATTCTTGGTTGGGCACATTTATTTCAATATAGCATGATGTCGAGGAGCATTATCAAACACATTTCTAGGATGGATAGAGCCTATTCCTGCAACCCTCCCAGCTGCAGTTGCTATCCGGCCATTCTATCTTTAAAGTGCCGTCACTGACTGAACTGCCTGTATACACTGATCATCCCAAATTAGTACAAAAAGCTATTTCAATATCAGGATTTTCAAGCCTAGAAAACTGACTTCAGTGAGGGATGCATGTAACCAGTTCAGCCTGTGGCAGTTAGGAATGGACAAATTGTTTGTCTTAATGTATATTTATTAAGTTTGTATAAAACATTGGATGCATTTTTGTGCATATTTTTATGCATTGCCCCAATATATGCAAGTTTTGCAAACATTTTCCTGTTGTGCATGTATTCTTGTATGCAATATTCCTTAATGCTTGCATAGTTTTTGATTGGAGAACTGTTTTGAACAAGTGCAAACACAGGATAATTGTATTCCTGCTCATGCATTTGTTCAGATAGTGTCATGTATTAAAATGTGCACCAAACAAATTTCTCCTCTATCCCTAGCGGGAATAGGAGTGGATGGATGAATCTGTCTGTTTAATATCTGTGCCACTTTCAGATCAGTTCCATTTTCATATTAATCTGCAATTGTTTTTAAACTCTTAAATGCATGTCTAAGAAATTGATTTCTCTACATTTAAATGTATATTTTCTCTCAAAACATGTATTCCGTGTGTATTTGTAATTTCCAGCTGGCCAGTGACCACCTCCATCCCAACTCCACATTTTATCCTTTTATGCCTCAGGTGTCCTCACTGGAAGTATTGTGGGCTCACAGCTGATTGCCATCCTGGGCACAGTAACAAAAGCTAAATAAAAGCTGTGCTGCTTCACCAACAGGGCAGATGTTGCCAAAAGAAAAGATGGACTATTGTTAAATATCTGGTCAGTCACAGATATCCCCTCTTCTTCTTTAAAAGGGAAGAGGGGAAGAAGCTGTTGGGACAGCCAAAGGAAAATGCTGCAGAACAGAGTGAAGCAAAGCTCTCACAGACAAATGCAGAAACTCTCCATAAAGTCCCTTTTCCATTTTTTAAAATATTTATCCTCATTTCCTTGAAGCCTTTCTTGACATTTTATTTTTCCAGTTGCCTTCCCATTCTTGGATGCATACCTTAACATGGTGAGGGAGTTTGAGAGTGCCAGGGATGAGGAGAGCAATACCACAAGGAAGCAAGACCCTTATGAGTCTGGTCTAGCAGGGTCACCCAAAATGGAATGATCAAAGCTGACACACCAGACTAAGATGCACCCACCATCTTCTAGAGTAACAGTCACAGAAGAGAATGGCTATCTCTAACGGTGACGGGGTGGAGAAACTCCTGTTGGGCAGGTACTGTGCAGCAGTGGTAGATGAAGGTGGCAATAGCAGAGGATCTTTCACAGACAACAGCAGTGATGCTTAAGCTAACTTCTCTGCACAGAAGAAGGCACTGGTAAGCCACTTTCTTACCTTGAGAAGCTATGATGAAACAACCCGAAATGAAATAAGAGGTAGTGCCAGAAAGATGTCCCAGGTCAGAAGGCAGAAGGGTCCAAGAATGAACCAAGGCAGACTGGAAACCATAAAGCAGGAATCCGAATGGCTGAACATCAGAGTACTTGCTGTGAGTGAACAAAAGTGGACTGGAACGGGACATCTTCTGTCAGAAATACAAAGCATTTTACTCTGGAAATGATAAACTCAGATGAAATGAAGTGGTTCTAATACTGAGGCAAGATGTAGCACAGGCAGTGATGGAACAGAACGCAAAGTTCAAACCAATAATATCAATCCAAATTTGTGGAGAATCTATCAGCATAGCCATCATTTGAGCCTATGCTCTAACGATAGATATAAAAGAAGAAATTTTTAAAATTCATGTAAGCAATCAAGAGGAAATTGATAACACACTAAAAATACATGCTGACAATAACAGGTGACTGTAATGCACAAGCAGCAAAAAAAGCAGAATCCAGTGACGTGGAAGAAGTGGGCCTAGGCTAAGAAATGAAGCAGGAGAATGACTCAAAGGATTCTGTGAAGACATATACACCATCTGTTTATTACAAATACATACTTCAGGCAACTGATCTGTACACAGGGACATCACCAATACATAATTCAAATAGATTATGTAATTGGAAGCAGAAGGTGGAGAAGTAGATTCTCACTGCCAAAACAAGACCAGGAGCAGATTGCAGTAGTGACCATGAACTCTTAATATCAAAAATCAGAGTCAAGTTAAAAGAATTAATAACAGAAACATAGTGCTAAAGCACAACTTAAATGACAACCCTGAGAAATATAACATCCACATAAAGAACAGATTCACACTACTATATTTAATTTACCATGAGTCAAAAAACTGGACTGAAATCAGAGACATTGTAAGCAAAGAATGCAAAAAAAAAAAAAAAAAAAAGCAATTCCTGTAGCAGCAACCAACAACCAAACAGAAAAACTTCACCACCTCCTAGATGGATGACAGAAGAAACACAGCTGTTAAGGACAGGTAAGGAGCAAAAGCAAAAAGTGACAGAAATAGGGTAAGATTCCTGAATGATGCTATCTGACCAAGAGAAAATAAAAAGAAGATGGAAACAATATACAGAACAACTATACAGAAGAGATGAAAGATGACAAACTCCTTCAAAGAGGAATCCTATCGGGAAGAACATGCAACATTAGAAAGTGAAGTGAAAGCTGCTCTGAAAGCACTTGGAAGGAAGGAAGTACCTGGGAAAGGTAGGACACCAATAAAACTATTCCTAGCTGAATCAGTCTAAATCACAAGAATGTGCCAACCATTATGGAACACAAAACAAGAGCTCAAAGATCGGAAATGTTCAATATACAGTCCCGAACCCCAGAAAGGAGATGCAAAAGAATGCAGCAACCATAGGACCATTGCAGTAATTTCTCATGCAAGCAAAGTGATGCTCAAGGCATTGCAGCAAAGGATTTTACCCTACACAGGGCAAGAA